AATTGTAACTCCGCATTTACTCACGAAGTCTGTGGTGGTCAACCAATAAAAATTCCTTTGTGTTTAATTCTTAAGAGTCATTTCGTGTAAATACTTCATATAAGTGTCCACGCTCAAAAAATCGAATTTTTTAAAACTTTGTGGGATGAAAGGACTTTGGGAGCAAGTAACCAAAATAGACTTTTTAAACTTTTATTTTGCCCGTTGCCATGGTCATCAAGCCAAACTGCGAAGTAATGTCACAAAAGTAACTATATCACGACAAAGTATCATCCTTACCCTTACAAAATCTCCTTTACATTATTTTCAGGCCCTATAATACAGAAAGTTTTTACAACTAGCAAAATTGCATTTTTTACCCCATTTTTATCCCTCCAAAATGGCACTTGCCAGGGCACTCAGAATAATTTCCCTTCGGCTATGGTTAGTTCAGACATTGGTCTTTTCATATCTGGTGAGAACATTTTGGGTTATTGTATATCCTTTGTGCAGTAGCGCTCCAAAAATGGTAAATTTCACAAAAACCTTAAAAAAGTGTATTTTCAGTGTTTTCCTTTGTTTTGAGTAATAACTTGTATAATTGGTATTGTTCATGAATCAAGCACATTTTCACAAACAGAATCAGACTCTGTATCATTTTTAGACCAGTGGATGAATAGTAGGTCGTGTACTCTCTCCCCCCCCCCCCCCACACACACACACACCTGACAAGCCCCCGCCCACTCCCCCGTGCCACCGAATTCTGAACTTGTGTGTTGCATAACGAAACAAATGTAAATAAATAATATGCAAGTGAAAACTTTAGAAATTACATAGACTTCCTTTTCACAGCCTCCCCTTCCCCCACCCTGGGGCCATTGCTTGGGGTTGAGTGTGACCACCCACCAATAACTTGGCTTTGTCGGTAAAATCATTGTCACATGGGCAAATTTCATGTGTTTGCAAGCCGCAATGAATAATAATGGCCATATCCATTGTCCTCTGATTGAAGTGCATTCATTAATTAAAATAATGATGTCTAGTCCTCCCCTCCCAGCTAGGCCTTGCCCCTTCCCTTGCCACCAAATTCAGATTTTGATTGCTACTTGTATTTGCCTACATTAAAATTGTAAATAGATATCAATTTGCAAGTAAACCTTTCATAATTTACACCAACAGGCGTACCCATCTCACAGCCCACCCCCTGCCACCCCTCTTCCTACTCCAGTGCTCATTATGAGCAACGACCCCTCCCCCTCCCAAAGAATTCAACATGTATTATTGTTGAGGTTACATATTGCCTTGCGGAAAGTCCACATATTTATATGCACTATGTAGGTTTGGCTATTTTTTGTCAAGGTGGGAGTGGTTTGGAATATCTGGAAAGCGGGGGGGTGTAATATGGATACATGTACATGGTACATGTACATAATGCTGTAATTTTTTTAACGAAATTGCATTTATTTTATTATTTTCAATACAGAGAAGAGATATGGCGATTACGAGAGCAAATAACTCATATTTTTATATTAAAATACATGTACTTTAAAACAACTATCACTCTAGTGAAAGCTCAAAATGGCCTCTATTTTGATTGATTGAATTGTCTTGGCCCTACGTGTAAATATGGTCAGATCGAGCACATATAAAGTCGAATATAGTACCGTTGTGGGTGCTGCTATGCCCTCCAAAATCGTAATTTTGTAATCAACCTGACATTTTGAGTCGCTTCCAAACTGTCATCAGTAGTCAACAAGGCCACACTTATGTGGTGCATCCATTGTTGCATGACAAGCAATTTAAATGTATTGGTGCTTATAAATTACAGGGTTTTTTTGTATACAACCAGGAAAAAATGTTTTGTTAATGTGTTAATAAAAAAGATATTAACTTCCCCACCGAACCACAAGTGCTTACAGATTTGAACCCTTTCTGGCGGGTATTGGGGGGGGGGGGGGTTGAAAGGGAGGGGTACAGCACACTGTGATCCCCATGTTGATTTGCACATGCTTTGACCGATTTTCCTACAACTGATTTGTCAGGAAAATATTGGTTGACCATTACTCTATAATATGACATTCTTGGTTCTATTGCTGTTACCACGAGCGGTGTTTTTTATATATTTTTCCAAACTCTTGTCTAGATAACATTTTGGGCATAATTTCTGTATTTTTTGTGTAAACATTCATCCCAGTCAGGCAATTGTATGCATCCATTGTCAATGCCATAGGGACTATATACTCACTGATTTTATTCCAAAAATTTGTGGGTTTTCAACCCGAATTGGCAAAACTCTCTTTTGAGCTTTGGGAGTGGGGGTGGCAGGGGAAGGGGCTAGCTGTGAGACGGCTGTTGGTGTAGATTGTAAAAGGTTCACTTGCAAATTATTATCTAGTATTTTCAATTTAATTTAGGTAAATACATGCAGAAATCAAAAACTTAATTTGGTGGCAAGGGAAGGGGCGGGGCCTTGCTGGGAGGGGAGGACTGGATATCACTTGAATAATGGTGCACTTCAATCAGAGGACAATGGATATTATTATTCATTGCGGCTTGCAAACACATGAGTTTTGCCAATGTGACAATGAATTTACCGACAATGCCAAGTTATTGGTGGGTGGTCACACCCCACCCTCAACCCCAAGCAATGCCCCCGGGGTAGGGGAAGGGGAGGCTGTGAAAAGGAAGTCTATTTTATTTATACAGTGTTTACTTGCATATTATTTATTTGCATTTGTTTTGTTATGCAACATACAAGTTCTAAATTCGGTGGCAAAATCTGGTTTTTGTGCAATTTAACATTTTTGGAGCGCTACTGCACAAAGGATATACAATAACCCAAGATTTTTTTTCACCAGATATGAAAAGACCATTGTCTGAACTAACCATAGCCGAAGGGAAATTATTCTGAGTGCCCTGGCAAGTGCCATTTTGGAGGGATAAAAATGGGGTAAAAAATGCAATTTTGCTAGTTTTAAAAACATGCTTCATATAGGGCCTAAAAATAATATAAAGGGAATTTTTTAGAAAAGGTTTCTATTGTTTTCTTGTAAGGGTAAGGATGATACTTTGTCATGATATAGTTACTTTTGTGATATTCGCAGTTTGCCTTGATGACCATTAAAAATAACGCAAAAAATGAATTTTTGCAGCATCAAAATTGCCCCTAAAAGGCCAAAACACATAATGGCCCGAAACAATGGCAACGGGCAAAATATCTATTTTGGTTACTTGCTCCCAAAGGTCCTTTCATCCCTCGAAGTTTTAAAAAATTCGATTTTTTGAGCGTGGACACTTATATGAAGTATTTACACGAAATTACTCTTAAGGACTGACAATTTATGTCCATGCATTTGCTGCCGCTAGAATTAAATCCACTTACATTACTGAACGCTATTGTTGTCATAGGATAATGAAAGTAAGGGTTATTTTTCATACACTGTGGTTTTGGTCAGTTGTTTCCCCTTTCTGTTTTCACAAAGCCAAACAAGGGTTATTTTTCACACACTGTGTTTTTTTAGTCAGTTGCTTCCCCTTTCCCTTTTCACAAAGCCAAACAACACCAGATTTCTTCCTGATGACCGCGAAGTTTCGATGTGTTCATCACATTACACTCAGCCAAATATGAGTGATGTCTGATTAAGAATAAACCAGTGAAAGGCTAGTGTATTTTGTAGGCTGATCCAAAATTGTCGATGAGACCTCCCTACTAGCGTGCGTTTAATTGAGGCAATAGTCGAACTTGTCTACCATGGTTTTTGATCGAATTTTGTTTGTAGATTGCCATGCTATTTTATACCACATCAACCTAAAAAGATGTAACACGGTACCTTGTGGAATATACCTCCAAAAAGTAGTCCATGTATATCTAAGGAGTATAACTGGAGTCTTGATGAGGGTGGTGCGCTTCCGAGTAGGACTTGTTTACTCTGCTGATTAATGATTGGAAATTTGATGTAGACGTTGCACAAACAGTTGAATGGGGCAATGTGTTTCACGTGTGAACTGACTCAGAAAAGAAGGACTGTTGCATGATTCTTGTATTAACTGGGTTATGTATATGTCGAATATGAGAAAGGGATATGTCGAACATGAGACGCAATAAAATACTGCTGTAAGTACGGTTCATATGAACCAGTAGCGATATGGACATCGAGCCAGTCATTACAATGTATTAGTATTCCCCATGCAGGAAATGGGCAACAAAATGGAAAGTTCCTACGACAATAGTTGTACTTGGAAAGCGCACTTTCCTGTTGGGTATATGCGGATGACACGGCTGGCAAGGAGAAGGCATCCGACGAATACGTAGGATTTGGTTTGAGAAACAAACATGGCGCCCGGTGAATTTCTATGACGACATACGGCGAACACAAAATGACGAAACTCAAAGATATTCAAAGTCCAAAATCACGGTGAAAAAAACCCGCTCAGACTCGCAAATAAAATGACGACTTAACAGGGAAAACCATAACAAACTTCCAAAAAGTTCCTTAAAAACGTAGATGTGCGACTAAAAACGAAGATAAAAACAAAATATAAATCACGAAGTGCAGAGTAAAACGAAAAAGCGTCCCCCTCACCAAGCGCGCCCTCGGTAAACACACAAACGAGGGCGAAAGACGGCTTTCTGTACATCAGGCACAAAATAGACATTCAATTAGAAGGCAAATCTATATGCATGATGTTTGAAAAGATTTCTTTCTGCGAAGGAGTTGCAATGTAAGACACTAGTGTGTACAAACTAGACACTTAAACGTTGTTTTCATTATGACCTGCGCACAGGGTTGATATTCTCTCGGAATTAGGAACAAAACATTTTAATCGTTTATACTTTGAAACTATACTGTTAGTTTACTTGTCTGAGGTTGAAGTTTAACCGTTTTCTAATCACCGAAAGGCTCGGCTATAATGCTAGCTGATCATTGCAATGTTGAAATGTGTTCTTCGGGACGCCACACTCCAAAATCAAGGTTGTTATCGCGGTAAATCACCTTCAAAAATAACAAAATCTCCCTTACCTTGTACAAGTAGAGCCGTCGGACCAGGAGACAGTGGTAAAGTTCCAACGTCAGTCACGGCAAATCTGTTGTATCAAGCTGTTTGCTGTCACTCAGCTGTCTTCATCATAGCCTTGACCATGTGCAGACCAAGCACAAGCAAGGGCCGTTGAGGATAACGGTAGCACAACGGGTACATTGTAGTGTGCGCGGCGGTACGGTGTGCGGTAGCGGGAACAAGCTCGTTTGTGAAGTTTGACAGTCTTGGTCAAGGCTATCATCGTCAAAATGGCGTATCACGCAATGCGCTTATCCTTAATTCGCGTTCAGCACACACAATAAACACCCCAATACCAAAGCAGTGCAAGCCCAACAGGTTGGGGAATAGACCTACGTGTCCTTTCTAGGTGAGCGAGCCTATAACCAAGGGCAATGAAACTATTGTCGTTTAATCATTTACATAATAACGTGAACTTAGGTGCTCCATGTACAGAATCTCGGCACTTCTATGGATACAATTTCTGACAATATTTCGCAAAAACGGACAATATTTTGCAGTAATTGACACTATTTTTGGCAGGAACATGCAGCGGACAGTTGTATGAGTATCATCGTTGCTCAACAGAGCCTGCACGCTCCGCAACAACGTCTGATATGTACATGCACATTTTATGCGACCCTATAGCGCCAGGCAAACAAATTACTTTCGGAAATTGTGATGTCATGTCGAGCAGATATTCGACCTGAGCTGTGGGCATGTTCGAGCAAGGACCAATGGTTAACTAGCTTCTGGTTCGTGACGTCCGTATAAGCTGTTATGTTGATTATTACATTTTTGCCATGTTTTTTTGTGATATAGGTTTTCACGGCCAATTTTATGAAATGCTCATTCACTTCTGAAAATCGGTCAATCATTTTCGTCTGAATTTGAATGCATGTCTTTAATCCAATTTCAATTCAACGAAAGTTCAATCGTTTTCACTGTCCGTGCATTCGGTTTTGAGAAACAGACAGCTAATTACGTTACCTGTGCATTCATTTACGCAAGCATACCATTTCTAAGTTGATTTCAGGTACTGCTAATTTGATTGACGGTTGATGAAAAAGAAAACCCTCATTTTATCTGGTGCCGATGGCATTAAACTAAAAGTGAAATAGAATGGTGAATGTTTGAAATCGCCCCCTAAAGGCAAAAAAGAAGTCTTGTAAACGAATCTGAATGGACATAAACGAAAGGTGAACTGAAATGGAATTGAATGCTCTGGTTGCGAAAATGAAACGTGTGTTCAGAGCGATTCTCAAATTCAGGCGAAAATGAATGACCGATTTTTAGAAGTGAATGAACATTTTAAGAAATTGGCCGGGAAAACCTATACTTACAATGGGTTACCAAAGACCCGATAGAATGTGCCCAAAAGATAGTGTTGTTTGAATAATCCGTAATAATGTTGTTTTGAATAATTGTGTTTAACAAATTTGTTGAGGTACACAGATCTTCCAATAAAATGCAGCAAGAGCTACTCTTCACCCTAAGCTTGATCGCAGAACGTTTGCTTTCGTTAAAAAAACCCCAATGTGTTATGCCATACTATCTTCACGGTTTTTTTTTATTCAAACTTGGTTCAAAATAACATCACTTTTACAAACTGTGGAGAATGTGTACATGAGAATGGATACCGTTTACATGTACTACGAGTTGAAATCTTTATTTCTATCAAATAAACACCTTTTTGTGTTTATTTTCCTTAGTTTATTTTATGGAAAATGGTAAAGAGGAACGTCCCTCAGACTGTTTTTAGTTCAGCTTCGCAGCGTAAAACAAGTACTCCGAGGAATTCTTAAAGTAGAGCCTCAACAGTTGAGAAAGTCTTTTAGCAGATACGAGTACAGCAAGACAAAACTCAGTGTTTTACGGCTTCCTCGGTTGGAAAATATCTGGTGATGTGGATGCATACAGAGCAAAAATGGTCCCCGGCCCATTGTTAGTGAAGACGAGCTTGTTCTTTTCAGATGGCTGTCAGAAATGGCCAAGAGGGGCACCGGACATTTCCCAGGAGAGTTCTTAGATTTTGTTGATAGAACCGCAAGGAAGGAGAAACGGATGTTTAAGAGCAGCAGGCCCAGTTACACTTGGAACTATACTCCTTAATTCGTGACCCAGAAGTCTGATGTGGTTCAAAGGTGAAAAGAACGGATCTGAAATCGTCCAGAATCAAAGTAACACCCTTCAAGCTCATAAATTATCTGAGGGTTAATATGTTACCATGCATTTTGTGTCCAATCTTCAGTTGTTGGACAAACCATTATGATCTGGAATACAGACGAAACAGGATTTGAGATGGGAAGCAAGTCAGGGCATGTGATTGGACCCACCACATCAGAATATTCAGGTTCACTGCCACATCTAGCTGACAGTGCAGGGATCCACAAAGCAGAGGCTGACTGTGAGATGCATTGTGGTAATGCAGAAGGGGAACTTATGCCACCATTCTTTGTTTTCCCCAAACCACGCCCAAACCACGCCCCACAAACAAGTTGGATGAATGGGGATATTTTCTCGAAATTCATGGATCATTTTTACCGCAGTACTGGTCCACTGGCAGAGCGCCCAGGTATTCTGCTCATTGCTAGTCCTGCCACATTGATATGAACATGTGTGATTATGCAGTTGCTCATGACGTTGAAGTCTACCGTATTGTCCCGAATGCAACTCAACTGATGCAACCAAGGAATGTGGGTGTGTTTGGGCTCTTGAAGAGGCAGTGGAAGAAACACACCAGGGAGCAACCAGGAAACTAATCGACATGGCCACATTTCCAGCGAAGTTGCATGAAGCTATTCTTGCTTTCTTCAAGCCGCTTATACTGTAATGAACAGCTTCAAGTCTGCATGGATTTTCCCCATCAACAGGCAAGCCATCTTAAATCATGAGCTCAAGCCCTCTTTGACATTTTTTAATCAAAAGCACCCCAAGTTGAGCCCTCCACAGGTGCCCCCTCACAAGGAGCTGATGATGCTTTCCAGAATTTCAGATCAGTTTTTGATGAAGCTGCAGTAACAAAATACGAAAAACTGATGCTAAGAAACACCTACAGCCCAAGACATTGTCGGGTTGCCAAGACGAGGGCATGCACCAATGTGACTTGGTGCTGCATTTAAAATACATTTATAAAATGCTTAATCCATAGCGCAGTAGTTTAATTGCATGGCCGTTGTCATCCTTTTGCTGCATGAGTATAATAACTACCTTGCATTTTGTCTTGCTATACGAGGCTTGTTAAACTCCAAGAACCACACCGCTGCGGCGAACAAGACGTGAAGCCATTACACTAATTACTCACAATTTATGCAACAGATCAGTTTGATTGAACAGTTGGTAAAAAGGGTTGTGCCGAGTATACACTATAATTTCTAGTGTATACTCGGCAGAACCCTTTTTAATGTTTACTGATCAAACTGATCTGTTGCATTAAATGTACATGTATCATGAACCGAACATCCTTAGCATTGTTTTTGAGTCAAGAATTTAAACCAAATGTGAACGGTCTCATAGAGATGACGAAAAACTAGGGAGAAATATAGTTAAGGAGCACGAAACTCCCATGTGATTTGATATGTGACTTCATTGTAAAAAGGTTCTTTGGGAGACGCATTATGGGGAGTCAGGTTTGCGTAGCGGTTCTTTCCACGCCTTCTACCGGTACATACAGCCATGTGGTTACGAAGGCCTTAGCGTTGCTGTTGTTAGACAAAGTTAATCCGATTATGTACTTGGACGCCACAGACACAGCAGTGAAATTCATGCACCCCCAAAAAACATGGCTTTTTGAACGTTGTTTTTCTCAGAAAATATGCTCAGTATGATTGAAATGTTAAATTATAACGGAAGAAGAAATTCTAAACTTCATGTCAGTGAAAACAATCGCCGTCATCGATGCCGAAACGTCAATACTGGTTACTGGTAAAGCTGACCTTAAAGTTGTAAAGAAATCGTTCAAAAACGTCCCTAAATGTATGTATTTATCTCATTTTCTAGGAATCCCCACAAGTTGTTAGTTGAACACATATATCATCTAAGTATATTCTGAATTTCAGCTTAATCTGTTGTTACAAACGCTTGTGTTACACCTTGAACTATCTCCAAGGAAAATTTCGACGAGGATTTTTTTGCCGACCAAACTCACGTGCATGGTTTGCAGGTTGGCCGATTTTGGGGCAACAATGACGAAGCGCATATTAGCATATTCATTAGCGTCACTCGGCGTGACCTCGCGTGGGTCTCGGTTTCGACCAATGGAAGTTAGCAAAAAGGGTGATATTTATTAATCAATAACTGGTGAAGGAGGCGATGCTGAATTTTTTTACTGCACTCCACAATAGATAGGAACCTTATCAATATTCGTGAGGCATGAAAAGATTGACAAATATTGGAAACACCAGTGTTACAACTTTTAACAATGCACGGTAGCCAGGCCTATTTTTCCAATTCAACGAAAAGTACTGAACATATCAAAACGATTTTTAGCACATAGTTGGATCATTATAAGGGAAACAAACCCTAAAAGTTGAATGAAGTTACGGTCTTCCAAACGGGAGAACTTGATATTCGAATATTTCGCTCGTGAACATCAACATTTCTGTGTGCATGTTGTTTCATTCCAAATAAAGTATCACGTAGCCTTTTGAAATCGGCCTATGCCTATATGCAACCACATGACTGCGTACATACTATTATACTGAACATTTATTTCAACTTTGTTATGACACTACAAACATTTAATCGTTATGTTAACCTTTAAGCATACAAAATAATTATAATACGAAGTAATTTTACACAACACCATTATTAACATAATGAAAATATATGCATAATCCACATAACAACACGGGGATAGGGTGAAGCGATCGCTTTTGTTCCCTGACCCGTTGGACACTTACAGACTGACGGACAATTAAGTACGAACTAAGGACAATGACAGACAAACAGACAAACAGGAGTATCATTAAGCTTTTGTTGTATGTTTACAAAGTATTAACAGACTACGAATAATAATTATGTAAGAAGTTGTGTTTTTAATTTTTTGATAAATGTAGATAGAGTTAAAGACGTTTTAAGAGGGATACTTAAACTTTTCCAGAAACTCGTGCCACGTTGAACTATTCCATTTTTGAACACTGTTGTTCTATTGAAGCCAACATGAAGATTTTTCTTCGCGATACTCCTGGTTTTATAACAATGAACATTTAAAGCTAAAGTAAAACATGAGCCGAAACACAAAGGGAACAAATTATTCATATATTTGTACATGAATTATTTTCCACGTTCCTTTTGCATTGCTCTTTTCCTGGTCAAATTTCTTATAAAGATAGTTTTG